TATATATATGTATGTATGTGTAGAATTGTTATATTGCCCTGATGAATTGATATCTTTATTATATAATGGCCTTTGCCTATTTTTACTTTTTTTGCATTTTTTAATTAAAGTCTTTTATCTGTTATAAATATAGCAACTTTTGCTCACTTTTGGTTTCTATTTCTATGGAATATCTTTCCACACCCCTTTTAGTCTATATGTATCTTTACAGTTAAGATGAGTTTCTTATAGGCAGTGTGTAGTTGGATAATGTTTTTAAAATTCATGCAGCCAATCTGTATCTGTTGAGTGGAGCATTTAATCCATTTATATTCAAGGTTAATATTGTCTGAGGTTCTATTCCTATCATATTGTTAATTGTTTTCTAGTTATTTTATAAATTGTTTCTTTTCCTCTTACTGTTTGTCATTGTGGTTTAGGGGAATTCTATAGTGGTGCCATTGGATTCCTTTCTCTTCCTCCTTCGTGTGATTGCTTTACCAGTGAGTTTTATACTTTAGTGTATTTTGATGGTGGGAAGTGTCATGTTTTTGCTGCTAACTTTAGGACTTCCTGGAGCATTTCTTATAGGGCCAGTCTAATGATGACAAATTCCCTCAGGATTTGCTTGATTAGGTAAGACCAGATTCATCCTTCATTTATGAAGGTAAATCTTACTGAATATAGAATTCTTAGTTGTCAAGAATTCTTAACATTTTTAACATGACATCCCATTTTCTTCTAGTCTGTAGGGTTTCTACCTAGAAGTCCGCTGTTAGTCTTATGGGGTTTCCTTTATAGATGACTAGAGATGCTTAGTATTTTTACAGTTCACTCTTTCACTTTGACTTAAGACAGTCTGATTATAATGGGCCATGGCAAATTCCTTTTTGCATTATATGTGCCTGAGGATTGCTAAGCCTCCTGTATCTGGATGTGTGGTTCTCTCAACAAACTTTGGAAGTTTTTACCTATTATTTCATTAAATAATAAAGATTTCCTAAATCTTTTGTTCTCTTTTTGCCTTCAGTAACATTAATAATTCATTCATAAATTTAGTGATTTTATGTTGTCTCAAAAGTCTTAAAAGATTTGTCTTATTTATGTTTTTGTCTGACTGGATTATTGCAAAAGACCTGTCTTCTAGTTCAGAAATCTTTCTTCTACTTTTCCTTTTCCTTTTTTTTTTTTTTTTTGAGACAGAGCCTCAAGCTGTCCCCCTAGGTAGAGTGCTGTGGCATCACAGCTCACAGCAACCTCCAACTTCTGGGCTCAAGTGAGTCTCCTGCCTCCGCCTCCTAAGTAGCTGGGACCATAGGCACCCGCCACAACACCTGGCTATTTTTTTTGGTTGCAGCCATCATTGTTGTTTTGGTGGACTCAGGCTGGATTTGAACCTGCCACCTTAGGTGTATGGCACCTTAGCCATTTGAGCCACAGGTGCTGAGCCTCTTCTGCTTTTTCTAATGTATTGTTAGAGCTTTCAAATGCATTTTGCCTATTGCTGATGAAGTATTGTGTTCCTTTGAGGAGGGTGTCATTTTTCCCTTTTTCATGTTTCCTGTCTCTATTTTGATATCTGTGCATATAGTTTAACAGCCACTTCTTCCTGTATTTGCCTTTACTTTCTTTGAGGGTCTTCAGGGAACTTACTCTGGAATATTGTTATGTTGCTGGTTAGGTAGGGCCCTTTGAATTTTCTTCTGGGTGTGTGCAGTAGCAAAATCTCTGTTTAACTTCTTTAACTATGGATAGCATTAGTAGTATCTGTGGTTTCCTCATTGTGCCAGGGTTTGGTTATTTGTGGAGGCTGTGGTAAAGTTGTACTGGTGCCAGATGCATTAACCTTCAAGCTTCAGTGGTAGGGATGGTGTGGGCTATGCATGTCTTTTCCTGTTTCTGGGGCAACACACATTGGCATCTTTTTGATGATTAGAGACTGGCAGCTTCTTAGGCCTGTAGGTGGCTTAGTCTAATGCTGGTTGTTATAGCAGTAGAATAGGCAGGTGAGTTGGCTCTCAAGCCCCTAGGTGACTGGTATGGCATGGGTGTTGGTGGTAGCAATGGTGTACTGCTCTTCTGGATCCCAGTGGCTATGTGCTTATGTCGGCAGTAGTTGCAATGGGCTGTGTGTGCCAGCCTCCAGGCCAGCAGGCGGTGCTTGCAGATAGGAGCCAGTTGAGGTGATAGTGATAGAATGTTTAAGCTCAACCTCGGGTACAGTCTGTCATGTTTGTCTTAGGGAGTTCCAACTCCCTAGGTGGGGTGTTGGGGATTGAAGTGAGTGGAGCCAGACCAGGCAGGCACTCAGATTCCTCAATAGCATGTACCAGCTGTGATGGGTGAGGCTGGAGCAATTCTCAGACTCCTGGCAGAATGTTCATACGAGGGGCAGCAGCTACCTTACCAAGGTCCTGCCAGACGGAATGTGGGGCCAGCCACAGTCTTGGTGGGCAGATGGGGGACATATGTCCTTCTCATGCCCCACTGAGCCAGGGTCACTCCCCAGTCCTGGCTGTCATAGCCAACCCAGGTGACTGGTAAAACTCAGGAGTTTGTGTTTAACCTGCAACTCAGCCCTGAGCCATAGGAGCTTCCACCCAGCTCAAGACCAAGCCTCTGCAGCAGCTTGCATCCCACTCTCAAGTTTACTCAAGTCCTGAGGACAATACCCACTTCTAGTACCTGGGGCTGCTGCCCATGACCACTCTTACTTACTTCTCAATCTTGGCTATGAGAGGCCTCCCCACCCCACCCCCAAATCCCAGTTCTTCAGTCAACAGCTCAGGTTTCCCTAATACCTAGGACTGGCACATCCGGGGCCAATCTATAGCACATAGATCCTATTAGAAGCTAGGATCAAAAGTAGTGTCTTGCTGTAATGTTCAGGTTTCAGAAAGGGCATGGGACCCACAGCCAATTCTTTCCCTGGAGCAGTTACATCTTACAGTTTCCCAGCCACTCCCTAAGTTAGATTCAGTGATGAGGAAGATCAAAATTCTCTACAGTAGGGAAAGTGGACTGAAGGAAGATGCTAACTCACCCTCTCACCATACTAAGAAATCATCCCAGGCTCGGCGCCTGTAGCTCAACCGGCTAAGGCGCCAGCCACGTACACCTAAGGTGGCGGGTTCAAATCCAGCCCGGACCCGCCAAACAACAATGACGGCTGCAACCAAAAAATAGCCGGGCATTGTGGCGGGCGCCTGTGGTCCCAGCTACTTGGGAGGCTGAGGCAGGAAACTCGCTTGAGCCCAAGAGTTGGAGGTTGCTGTGAGCTGTAATGCCACGGCACTCTACCCAGGGGGACAGCTTGAGGCTCTGTCTCAAAAAAGAAATCATCCCAGTTCCAGCATCTTGGTTCTGGCCAAGCAGGCTGCTTGTCATCCTTCTCTTTCCTAGTTTTTGCTATTTCCTCTTACTTTTCTATTGAACTCTCATGTTCTCTCTTGAACAGTGTCAGCACTCTATTTTGGTTCTTCTAAGTGAATTAGGTGTGCATGATATACTTCTGTTCAGCTATATAGTGCTTATTTGTAAAAATCTTCAGTTTTCTTTACGTAACTGGAGAGGTAGAAAATGAGGTTCAGACTGGGTCCTTGCAGCTTAACACCAATGTCAGATCTTTGGGCAGCAAAATCTATTTTTCTTTAATCCGACAAAAAGAATTTCTTTTCTAGGCTCCTAGAAAATTGCTTTCAACTTTATTTCACCATCCAAGTTTACCATTATTCTGAACCAATTTTATCTGTCATGGTCCACTTAATTATTTGGTCTGAACAGTACAGTACATCTATCAGGATCTAAGCTAAACATTCTTCGAGTGTATACCATGACATTATTATCTTTAATTGTGTAAAGTTGTCTTTCACAAACCAGTATTAGTTAAAAATAACTAGTTTTTATACTAAAAACTATTGATTTAATTGTATTTTAAGTTGACTTTCTAGATAAGCTATAACAAATAGTTTTATAAATAAATTATGAAAGGTTAATACAGATGTTTTCAGCATATTGCTTTTAATTTTTGTTTTCACGTTTCACAAACAATTTTATTGGATTTTATTGCACTTTACTTGGCCTTTTAATTTACTTCCTTTTTGTAAATATGTGACAACTTTTCTTAGAGTAAAATGAAATTAATTGCATTTTTTAATTTATTCAGTTTGAATGGACTGAAGCTTTTCTTATTCCAGGAACAGAAGACTATTTGTTCAGTTTTATTAATTTTCACCCCACTCTCACCATGCGCTCATGAAAACTATTTAATCAGTAGGCTAGAGCCATCAGTCTCAATAAAGCTAAACTTTAATCTACATTGATATCCCTTAGAGGATACTTTAAGCTTAAAAGTTCTGTTAGGGTGATACAGAGATATACAAAGATGTAAGACAGACTGTACAGGAAAATATACCACTTATGTTGCAGATAAAAAATTAATATCTGTAGATATATTAAGACTTCTTGTAGATGAATTTGTTGAATACCCCAATAGAAAAATAGTAGTTTATGCATTCTTACATGTTTGCTTATAGAATAAACAATGTACTTTGTACATTTTTATATTATTTAATTTTATAAACATTGCTTTTTTAATCAGAAAAATATGAAAGAAGTAAATAAATTTTCATTAAAAAATAAAACTTCTAATGAGCCTGTAATTTTATTATTTCAGGATGGTTTATATCATCATACCCAAGTTGTTCATCTGCATAATCCATGGCTTCCCTTGTGGGTGCTTTTTAAAAAATCTCTTGTCAGTCTATGTTAGTTCAGTATTTAAAATAGACAAAAACATGAGAGGAAAGCCTGCTGTCTAGAAGAAATGGTTAAGACAAGAGATATGAAACATTGGCCTATGTATAAATGATAAATTCTAAGTGTTCTGGTGTTAATACCCCTATTTAGGGTTGCCTTATACATTGTACAGGAAGGTGAATCTTACATTGTGATAAGTTAATGCTTTAAGTTTAAATTTATTTCTTAAGTCTCACTAAACTGATGTGTTATTTTCTACATAGATTTCCAGCACCTATCTAGAGAGCAATTGGCCTATACGGGTGAGTTGTTATTTTGTTGGTGTTGACTTTCATTGGATAGCATTTACAGTAAGAGGCATTTTGAGAAGAGCCCTTCAATAGTTATATTGATAAGAGTAAAATTTTAGTATTCGATCCATTATACATTGCTATTTCGTTAATATTTATAATTTTGTTAACTATACCTATATAAATATTTGGATGTTTAAATTTAGCATTTTGTATTTAATTTACTTAGCAAACATTTATCAATTGTCTGTTTGCCTGACACAGTACCAAGCTCTTTATACCAAGTAAAGTATATAGGTTTGCAGGGAAGAGTTCTTAATTTTGTTTTTCTTTTAACAGTTTTCAGCTATTGATAAGCTTGGACAAAATATTGCTGTGGTTGGCAAGTTTGGTTTTGCACATTATTCATTACTCACCAAAAAATGGAAACTTTTTGGAAACATCACCCAGGTTTGTCTTTTGGAAAGTAATAACTTATTTCTTAAAGTATAAGAGAACTCCAGTGTGAAAAAACAGAAAGTCAACCATTGGTTACTTATAAAAAATAAAATTAAATATAAAAAGGTGACATTGGATAATGTCTGAAAGTCAATTCTGATAAAGTACTTGATGTTTGATAAAAGAATCTGTTGAAGAATTGATTTATTTTTAATTCTTATTGAGATCAGCAAATATTATTTAGCTTAAGGATTTACTTCACATTCCTGATTAGTTAATCATACATGATTAGAATAAATTTCCACAGAATTTGAATCACTCCCTGCTGTCTGTCTCCCTGTAATCAGGTAGCACATACATGTATGTATGTGTGTATGCATGCATACAATTTATACTAGTTGGATTTTGTAAGAATCAAATAGAAGGAAAAGGAAGAAATTATCACTTAATTGATGCCTATTGTGTACCAGGTACTTTGAGATGTTTTCATGCGTATCATCTCATTCATTTTCATAACAGCCCAGTGAGGGCACTGTTGTCACCATTTATTCAAAGAAAAACTGAGATTCAAAGTCACTCATTTGACAAATGATAAAGCCCAGAATTTAAACCAAGGTCTGTTGGAGGTGGGAGTAATGATGCTATATGATACCAAATTATTTTGAATGATGTATTTGCCTCCTTACAGAAATATTTATTTTTAAAAATAGGATATGAATTATTAATAAAGATCCTAGAGTAATAATTGGGAGAGAAAAACAGAAATAATATGAGGTCTCATGGTCTGCCTAAGAATATTTCATAAGTGTATTACTTTCTTATAATTTCTATATTAGTAGAATTAAAGTATTTTTATTTTTTTTTTTATTAAGGAGCAAAATATGATTGTGACAGGTGGCTTAGCCTGGTGGAATGATTTTATGGTTCTTGCGTGTTATAATATAAATGATCGTCAAGAAGAGGTAAGTCTTTTCTCTCAGAAATAATAGATTTTTACATTTTAAAGCTATTTAGAACAATTTAGTTTTATATAGAAAATAGTCTACTGGAAACTGAACAAAACATTTTATTTTTTAACTATGAATTTAGCATTTTTTAGCTACCAGGCAGGCCTTAAGTTACAAACAGCCTACTTACTTACAACTCACACTTAAGAACAGGGGCTATTACAGCAAGTCTCCGAGTTATACACATCTGACTGACGTATAATTCACACTTACAAACAGAGGCTGTTACAGGAACTAGGTAAGTGTACCTATTCCAACTTACATATAAATTCAGCATAAGACCAAACTCATCAAATCTATCTTGTTTGTAATCTGGGGATTGCCTGTAATAGAATTTTCTTTTTGGGTTATTACTATTTCTTTCAATTTTTGGAGTGACAATTGGGACTTCTAAGATTACTTTTTCTAGGCTCGGCGCCTATAGCTCAACCAGCTAAGGTGCCAGCCACGTACACCTAAGGTGGCGGGTTCAAATCCCCAGCCCGGACCCGCCAAACAACAATGACGGCTGCAACCAAAAAATAGCCGGGCGTTGTGGCGGGCGCCTGTAGTCCCAGCTACTTGGGAGGCGGAGGCAGGAGACTCGCTTGAGCCCAGGAGTTGGAGGTTGCTGTGAGCTGTAATGCCACGGCACTCTACCCAGGGGGACAGCTTGAGGCTCTGTCTCAAAAAAAAAAAAAAAAAAAAAAAGATTACTTTTTCTAAGGGTTTTAGCTATTAAGAGATTCTCTACGAAGTTTGAAAATAAATATAGTTAAAAGCAAAAGAGTTTGTAAGATTCTAGTTATCCTTAGAGATAGATTTATTATTTATTGATTTACAGTGGTCCCCCCTTATCCACAGGGAATACATTCCAAGACCTTCAATGGATGTCTGATACTGAGGATAGCACCAAACTATTTTTTTCTATACATAACTATGGTAAAGTTTAATTTGTAAGTTAGGCACAGTAAGAGATTAACAATAATAACTGATAAAATAGAACAGTTCTAACAGTATACTATATTAAGTGTTACATGAATGTGGTCTCTTGCTCTCAAAATATCTTATTATGTTCACCGATTTTCAAACTGTAATTTGAAAATTTTGCTTTCTGAGGGTAAGGGATATGGGTTTTTGTTTTGAAAAATTGTTGACCTATTATATCAGTTCTAAACACATAGGTCTAAAAGGAGTATCTCATAATAGTGCACTCACAGTTTTGATCACTTCATTTTTTGGTTATTTGTAGAATGATCCTCATTCACCAAAATAAAAACATAACCCATTCATTGTTAAGTTTAGATCGTCTGTCAACTGCTGTAACTTGGGGGAGAAAACCAGTAGATAAAAACCAGCATGCCGTCTGGGTGTGGTGAATCATACCCCATAATCTCAGAACTCTGGGAAACTGAGGCAGGAGGATTATACTTCAAGCTAGGAGTTCCAGGCCAGCCTAGGCAACATAGCAAGATCCTGTCTCTGCAAAAACTTTTAAAATTAGCCAAGCATGGTGGTGCAGGCCTTATTCCCAGCTACTTGGGAGGCTAAAGTGGGAGGATCATTTGAACTCAGGAGGTTGGGGTTATAGTGAACTATCATCATCCTAATGCACTCCAGCTTGGGTGACAGAGCAAGACCCTGTCTCAAAAAAAAAAAGGAAGGAAGGAAAGAAAGAAAAAAGTGTGTTTAAAGTATTTAGTCATCCCTGGTAGCCATCTCATTTTTATAATCTTCTTTATTTTTATTTTCTTCAGCTCAGAGTATACTTGCGAACATCAAATCTAGACAATGCTTTTGCTCACGTCACCAAAGCACAAGCAGAAACATTACTGCTTAGTGTCTTCCGGGACATGGTAATAGTATTTAGAGCAGATTGTTCAATATGCCTTTACAGTATTGAAAGAAAATCTGATGGGTAAGTAAATAGTATATGAGAAGTCACGTCTTACTTGTGTTTGCCATGTTTCTCCTCTATAGTTTGTTTTCTCAGAAGTTATTTTACCTTCATATTTACTTTCATTTTTTTAAGCAATGGAAAAAGCAAAGAGTTTAACTTAGTAATATTCATATGATAGCTATGAAAAAGAGAAATAGCCTAAACTATCACTGCTAATCTTCTTGGATTCATTTGAAAATAATCTACTCTGGGATGAGATAAAACTTAGATACTAAGTTTTAGTACAGCCTTGAAAATAAGTGACTGTTGATTTAGTGTTCTAGACACTTAGGGAAATTTGAAGAAGTTCTTAGGAAGCATGTCCTTAGGAAGCCTGTCCTTTGCAGACTCACTTTTATTTCCACTGAACTAGATGGCTATAGTCTGGGGCAGGAAATGCCGGCAGTCTTGTTGTTGGGAAATGTTGCCTTATATTCTTGGCATCTTGTTAACGTGCAGCATTTAGAACATACCTCTTGAGTTTTATTTTGTTCTCAGAAGGTTTTTTGTTTAAATAGCCATGAAGTATTTGCCAAAATAGTACAGTGATTTGGGAGTAATGCAAAGATAAAAATTTAGACATCTTACCAGACTCAAGTGACTGAACCCTCTCTGGCTGTAGAAACCAACTAGTTTTTTCCTTTAAGTATCTCTATTAATATTTTTGTCTTTGCTTCTACACCTTATTCCCTTTCTTTCTTTCTCGTTCCCATTTGTGTTCTTTGAATTCCCTCAACCTTGCCAATCTCCTGATTGAAGGATATTTGGAGAGGAGAGAGGGGGGGCTAGAAAACATTTGGGTCATCCATAAGCATGAAATCTAACACTATTAATAGCAAGAAAAGAAAAAAAAAAAGTCTTGCTAGCATTATTGTTGAAGTATGGGGTTTCTTTTGTTTTTACAGTCCAAACACTACTGCTGGTATTCAAGTTCTTCAGGAGGTCTCCATGTCACGTTACATTCCTCACCCTTTCCTGGTAGTATCTATCACTCTGACATCAGTGAGCACAGAGAATGGAATTACCCTGAAAATGCCACAGCAGGTAACCCTATTCCATTATTAGAGTTCTTTGGAGTTTACATCTCAGTTTTTAGTGTTTTAAGTTGATTTTAGGAACTGTTGATTTATTCAGCAAATAAATACTAAGTGTCTAGAATATACCTACTTTGAAGATGCTGGGTTGCAGTGGCATACTAAACATGGTTTCTGCTCAAAAATTAAACAAATAGGCTCGGCGCCTATAGCTCAACCGGTTAAGGCACCAGCCACATACACCTAAGGTGGCGGGTTCAAATCCCCAGCCCGGACCCGCCAAACAACAATGACGGCTGCAACCAAAAAATAGCCGGGCGTTGTGGCGGGCGCCTGTAGTCCCAGCTACTTGGGAGGCGGAGGCAGGAGACTCGCTTGAGCCCAGGAGTTGGAGGTTTCTGTGAGCTGTAATGCCACGGCACTCTACCCAGGGGGACAGCTTGAGGCTCTGTCTCAAAAAAAAAAAAAAAAAAAAAAAAAAATTAAACAAATAGTTATCTATATAATTGTTTTTATGATGTGTGCACCACAAAGTAGTGTCACAGGTTCCTGTGAGAGCCTATAACAAAAACCTGGTGTAGTCTGAACAATCAAGAGATTTCTATACCAGTTAAATTGAAAACTGGAGAATGAGTAGATACGATCTAAGTTACTGGTGAATTCCAGGCAGAACGAACAGTAATGCAAAAGCCCATACACAAAAGAGAACATGACAACACTCAGGGAATTGGAGGAGTTTTAGAGTGACTGGAACATGAAATGTGAGAAAGGATATGTGTCTTACAGATAATATTGATAACTTTAGACTACAGTTTCAAGTCAAAAGTGCTTTAAGGTAGGTATTATTACATCTAAGCTTTATTCTGTTTTCTCTTACTATAAGGACAGTGGGCTGGAGTAGAGGGAAACCTCATGTAGGGAAAGCAGCTGGGAGGACACTGTAATGATCTGTGAAAAGAGTTAGTGGCCTGAACTTGGGCAGTGAAAAAGGAGATGGAAAGAAACAGAACAAATATAAAATACAGAGAACTCCACCATTAGTTAATTATAAGGAAAGTATAATCCTATAGTTTTCTGGCTAAAGAAACTGAGTATATAGTCGTGCCACGATGACTCGGGTTACAGAACTTCTATTTTAGGGTTCCTTCCATTATACCATTGGTTTCTAAACTGTCAGCTGGGAACCCGTTGTCAGAGGAAAATTCTATGCAGACTATTTGTCATTCCTGTCTTCCAGTCTGTCTTCTACTTCCTATTGAGGCACTTCCATTGAACTTCAATACTCCATACAGTAGTTACAAAACAATGCACTAGACTATCCAGTTTTCGAGAATTCAGCTACTTTATAAAGAGAGTGAGCTGTTATCTAAAATCTGACTTGTAACAGTCTGTCCTAGTTTTCTAACTCTTTGGACTAAGAAATATTAAAAGTTGCTTCCTTTTCCACGTGATAACCTAAATTATTTGTGGATGGTTATCCCTTCTCTGTGTCTTCTCATCTGCATGTTAAATATTCCCGTATCTCTGTTTCTGTGATGTTCCTTCTAGACCCTTAATCATCTTGGTCTCCTTTCTGTAGAAAAACTTGTAATTGGCTTTTTACTTTAAAATATAGCTCCCATTTCCTCTGAAAATTATATTTCATAGTAACCAGATCATCCTAGTTGATAAGGAAAAGTTCTGTTTTACAGAAGAATTGTAGCTAAAAGATGTGGGAAAAATGTGAGATTTTTAAAAATTACCAATTCACAGCCCTGAGGAAATAATTAATTCAGGCAGTAATCATTATTGAATGAAACTTTACAATGAAGGGGTCATGGTTGTTGTTAATCAATGTTACCATTACCAAAAGTGGGAAAACAAGATGTGATATTCTTCCTTAGGTGATACAAGATAAAGATCACATGAAGAATTAATTGCCAAAACATTGAACTGAATTGAATTAAGTGTCTAGAGTCATTTTCCATTTGAAAGAAATAAAGACAGTCTAATTTACACCACAGGGAAGCAGAATGCAGGATATTCTATAAGACAGCTACAAGTAAATAAAGTAGGGGGAAAAAGAGATACTCTTCTAGATTAAATAAGACTTTAGAGTCATGACACCCAAATGCAATAGACAGGCTCATTTGAGAGGCAAATGTGATAGTCACTGTGCTATAAAACCAAGCCTAAGGCTGGGCACAGTGGCTCACATCTATAATCCTAGCACTCTGGAAGGCTGGGGCAAGTGGATCTCTTCTTGAGCTCTGGAGTTCAAGACCTCCTGAGCAAGAGTGAGACCCCTGTCTCTACTAAAAAATAGAAAAAACTAGCTGAGCATCATGGCTAGCACCTGTAGTCCCAGGTACTCAGGAGGCTGAGTCAAAGATGATTGAGTGAGCCCAGGAGTTTGAGGTTGCTGTGTGAGCTATTATGGTGCCATGGCACTCTACCAGGATGACAGAGTAAGATTCAGTCTCAAAAAAAGAAAAAGAAAACTAAGCCTAAACTATTCTTCCCGTCTTTCAAGCCAGCTGTTAAAAGATACTGTTGAAACCACTGGAGGCATTTAAATATGAAATAATACCAAGAACTAACTGTAAATTTTATTAGAGGTGATACTGACATTGATGGTTATACAGATGCCCATATATTTTAGGAATGTATGTTGAACATACAGAGGTAAAATGGCAAGATTGCTTGCTTAAAATAATTCTGCAAGACCTTTCAAAGAAAACAAGGGATAATCTAGAGCAAATATGGCAGTATCTTGATAACTGTGACTCAAAATAATGTAAATGAGATTTCATTGTACTATTCATCATACTTAGATCATGTTAGAAGTTTTCATATTAGGAAAAAAGGGGCTGTCTATGTCCCAGATGTAGTTGGCAATCAGTGGCATCAGTAGTACCAGGTATACACCATTTTGAGAGAGCCTTCACACAGAAGAAGTATTTAAATTAACTTGGTGAAGAGAAGATTAAGAAGTAGATTGAATAAAATAGGAAATAGACTGATTGCATCTGCTATGGAGGGAAGACCAAGGATGTTTTAGCAAGCAAACCTTCATTTAATATTAAAGATTTTTTGAAATAGTGATAACAGTGAGAACTGCATTAATAGGATAGCCTCTTCTTGAGAGTGAGTTCCCTGTTCTTAAAACTACCATTGAGAATTATCTGCCAGGGATTGTTTTTTTAGGGTGAGAGGGAGTGTTTTAGGTTCCTTCAGATTTAGGATTTGGAGCATACAGATAACCTTTGCTTTTTCTGAAAATTTAAAATTACCTGGTAGTGATATTGCAGTCACCTGTAATATTATTAGTAGAAAATGTTGAATGGGGGATTAATAATATCCACTCAATGAAGAAAAGTGTTGCTTTTTTGTTTTAAGAACTAGTGTGAAATGAAGCTGAAATCTACAATTTTAAAACTTAAGGTGGTCATTATAAACATTAAACATTAGTCATACTGTGATGAGTTGCAGTAAATAATCTTTTGAAGTATTTCAGGAGTCTGTCCCTATGCCAGTCCCCAAGTAGTCATACTGTTTTGATGCATGTGTTTGCATGCTTTTCTTTTTCTGCTGCTATCTAACTACATTTACTATTATCTGGGTTCCTGACTCTTACAGTTCCCACATACCTTTTAAATTCCATTTTCCTTCTCATACCAACAAGCTTTTTTTTTTTTTTCCTCCAAGTTACTGGCTGTTTTTCATGTATTGTGGACAGACATCCAAATTTTTAGTTTTGCAGTTTCTTCATACACATTTCTTTCTAGAATATGAAGCCAGTAAGCAAGAGCATTTTCTATCACACTGAGTGTTTTGCAGCTAGAATACAATTGGTGGTTGCTGTTTTCTTAACTGACCCCTAAAAGATGCTAACTAGCAGCTTAAATTCAGCCAGCAAGCGTCAAAACCTGAAACATAATAAACTTCTGGATAGTCATTCTCCTAAAATTCTTTACTTCTTAATTTATATGGCATTGTGCTTCCCCATTTCTCTTCTTCCCTTGAAAAGCTCAAGTGTGGCCCTCTGTTCTTTAGCCACCCCCAACCCCAATCTGTGCTTTAGAAAACTTTTCCTGTTTCCTTCAGTTTACACACCTCAGCCTTTTTGCTACGATGATGGCATATTCATCTCTAGTTCATTTTTGCTAGAAATGCTTATTAATCTTTCAAATTAAATAGGGGGATAAAAAGGAACTTTTGGATTTTTCCCTTCCCTAAGTCCTCTTATTATCTTCTATCAGTGATACCTTCAACTTCTCTAGCACCTCACCTAAATTCAATACCTTAATCATCTTTGATTTAGCTCTTTTTCTACCTTTCATGTCTGGGATAGCAATGTAGCAGTAAATTCTATTTTTTTAATCAAATGATCTTCTTCTTTATGGTGAAAATGGCTTGATATCTGAGATTCACTTTAATACAGTGCTTCTCAAGCTTTAATGTGCACAATTTATTCTGGGTAATAGGATTTAATAGGAAATCATTGTATAAGGCTCCCTACTCTGGCATTTGGTTGAAATTTCTTCATTCCTAAAGTTAATACCCATGAAGTTTTTCTTTTGCCAGTAATCCATTCTGATTAATTCTGGTTTTTTAATAACTCTCATATTCAAGAACCATAAATAGTGGCTTATTTCCTGCTGCTCTTTTCCCTGGCTTTCCAAGTCCTCTTTGAATGTCTGTCACCACTCTGCTTGTTCTCGTATTATCTGTGGTTGAGCACATTGTTCTCACTTTCCTAACAGAACTGTTCTATCCATGTCTTCACTTACATTACATGCTTTAACTAGAAAACCAACCCTTACACTTCCACCTAGGTATGTTTTCCTCATCTTTCAAGTTCCACTTCATTTTTTTTTTCTTTGCTATGCTTTCTTCCCTTTTTAAATTTAAACTCCTAGACTTAAGCTGTCCTTCTGCCTTAGCATCCCAAGTAGGCGGAACTACATATGTGAGCCACCACTCCCAGCCCCACTTACTTTAAACCTATTCAAGCTTTGCCAGCAAGATCCGTAACATGCTATTTCATTTTTATGAACTTCTAAAGTTCTCTTAATTTTTCCAGAATAATTTAGCTTTGCCCTCAATTTTATGTCACTGGTATTATTCATTAAATACATTATATATTGAGCTTTTTATCACAACCAGAGAGCTCCTTGTATTCCCACGGAGCCTAGCAGAATACATAGTACAACCCCAGTAAATATCGTAGATTGTTCACCTGTAAACTTTATGGATTGGGGGGGAAATGCTGAAAATATATGTATCCATTAGTATGAATCTAATTTCTTTTTCTTAAACTTCAGGCTCGTGATGCAGAGAGCATTATGCTAAACCTTGCAGGACAGCTCATCATGATGCAGAGGGATAGGTCGGGCCCTCAGATCAGGGAGAAGGACAGTAACCCTAACCAAAGGAAACTTGTGAGTAAAATGCAAGTCATTTTGAACATAAAGAAAGTATAGGATTAGAGGCAAGCATAGTACCTCACACCTTTGGGAGGCTGAGGTGGGTGGTTTGCTTGAGCTCAGGAGTTTAAGAACAGCCTGAGCAAGAGCAAGACCCCATCTCTATTTAAAATAGAAAAATTGGCTGAGCTTTGTGGCAGGCAGGCACCTATAGTCCCAGCTACTTGGGAGGCTGAGGCAAGAGGATTGCTGGAGCCCAGGAATTTGAGGTTGCTGTAAGCTAGGACACCATGGCACTCTAGCCTGGGGCAATAAAGTGAGACTGTGTCTCAAAAAAAAGAAAGTAAGTATGGGATTAGGATGAAGGAATAAGAGAATTTAAGAGAAGAGTATTGTCTTGTGATTTGGAAATATTAGGATTACAGGTGTGAGCCACCACACCCATTTAGTTGCAAATTCTAATAGAAAATAAAGATAGATTGGTGAAGTTCAAAGGGTTTTTGTTTTCTTTTTAGATTTAAATGTGCAAACTTTGAAAGTTAGGGTACTCTTATTAACTCTGATTCTAAATGTGTATGTAGATCTCCTTGCTTTTCAAAAAAAAAGTTGTTGTTATATCCCTTTGACAGACTTTGGAAACTTAGTACCTAGGAACTTAAGAATCTACAAATGTAATGGGTGAAAAAACCTGATTCTTGTCTCTCCTTCTCCAGCTGCCATTCTGTCCTCCCGTTGTACTCGCTCAGTCTGTTGAAAATGTCTGGACTACAGGTCGAGCAAGTAAACAAAAACGTCACCTTCTAGAGGCTCTCTGGCTGAGCTGTGGTGGTGCAGGGATGAAAGTTTGGCTCCCTCTCTTCCCTAGGGATCACCGCAAGCCCCATTCCTTCTTGTCCCAGCGGATCATGCTGCCTTTCCACATCAATATTTACCCTCTGGCTGTTCTATTTGAAGACGCATTAGTCCTCGGTGCTGTCAATGACACTTTACTTTATGATTCTTTGTATACTCGGAACAATACTAGGGAACAGCTGGAGGTGCTCTTCCCTTTCTGTGTTGTGGAGAGAACTTCTCAGATCTACCTGCACCATATTTTACGTCAGCTTCTAGTCAGAAACCTTGGGGAGCAAGCCTTGCTCTTGGCCCAGTCCTGCGCAGCGTTACCTTACTTCCCCCACGTGCTGGAGCTTATGCTCCATGAAGTCCTAGAAGAAGAAGCTACCTCACGGGAGCCCATTCCCGACCCTCTCCTTCCCACTGTGGCAAAATTTATTACGGAGTTCCCCCTTTTCCTGCAGACAGTTGTCCATTGTGCCAGAAAGACTGAGTATGCCCTGTGGAATTACCTTTTTGCAGCTGTTGGAAACCCCAAGGACTTGTTTGAGGAATGTTTGATGGCTCAGGATTTGGACACAGCTGCCTCTTACCTTATTATCTTACAGGTAACAGTTTTCTTCTTGTAAAGGGTCAGGTATTGATGAGGTTAAACTTAGAAAAAAGTTCTGTGTTTATTTTGTGATTGTGTTTAAGAAATTAATTTGTCGGCTCGGCGCCTATAGCTCAACCAGCTAAGGCGCCAGCCACATACACCTAAGGTGGCGGGTTC